CCCCAAAACCCCAAAACCCCAAAACCCCAAAACCCCGTATTCACCAACACCTTTTGAAATTTTCTAAATATCGTACTATCGCTAGATTATCATTCACTATTTACTCTTAAGCTATCTTCTTCTTGACTGTGAAAATCTACAGATAAACGACTTCATTACCAAGATTAAGTTTTTTGACTTCTCTCTTACTCTCCTCTGGCTTAGTTGATCCTTCAACTTGCTTCTTGTAGAACTGGACTGGGTCGAGTTCGCCCTTGAGTTCATCATCAAGTTTCTAGAAACATCGAAGCGAAAGTACCTGTAGCTCTCTTCTTCTAATCTCTTGTAGCTTGGGGTCATTATTGTATCTTCCTTGACTATAAATGAGCTTTAAAAATTACCTTGAAATGCTATCAGATCTTCCGCTTCGGTCATCCAGGAACTTTGAGTATTCCTCTGATGAAACCATTCAGCTATAGATTTTGCGAATACTCCAGACTAAAGCTATGATAAAGAGTATGGCAAAGACACCGATAACAACATATGCTACTTTAGAATGATTCTGCTCATGGACAGACTCATCATGAGGAAGAGAAGGATCGAAGTAGTCATAAGTTTTATTCCCAAAATGTAAATGTCCCATTGCCATCTTTACATCGTGCACTTCAGTGTCTGGAAGTCCCTCAGTAGATGTATTATTCCAGTCATTATTATAGTTAACCTGAGGTTCACTCTCTAATGTGAAATCAAAATTATGAGTATCTGGAGTGCTGAAAGTCTCAGATTTGATTTCTGCTTCTGTTGGCTCTTCTTCATTTGGAAGAATTGAGACTTGGTCTCCAGTCTTTTCATCTATTATAATCGGAGACTTATTTGAGTCTTCTTGAGGGAGATGTACCTCATAAATCTCATTTTCAGTATCCTGGTGAGGAGAGACTAAAGTCTCCCCAGATAAGATCAACTGATAGTCTTGAAAATCAGCTCCTCTTTCAGAAGAAATTGTAAAATTCCCTGGGCCTTGCTTAAATACTAAAGATTTAGATGCTTAAGAGTACTTTCTGGTTTTGAATTTTCTTTTACTGAGTTATCTATGGCAAACATGATTAACCGGAAAATTCAAAAGAAAATGTCAAATTATCAGCCAAATTTATAATGTTTAGCCTACACTCAATTGTCTCTCCATGATGATGAGTTGGAGGATAAGCTTGTGTTACTGGAGGCTCTTCAATCGGAGTGCTTAACCCAATAATTGTATCATCCTCGTCAACTTGAATATCTGAGTTTTCATCATTATTTTCTACAAAAATTAGTATTTGAGAAACAAATAATTGATAGAAAAACTGGTCGCTCACAGAGCTATTTTCAAGCTAATTTGAGGATCTTATACAAGCAACTGGACAGTAAAAACAATAAAGATAGTATTGAGTACCTTTGATAATCTCGTACATATTTAAATTTCAATTTTTAATAAAACAATCGGGGTTTTGGGGTTTTGGGGTTTTGGGGTTTTGGGG